AAGCCTACAGTAAATAACAATACATGTTATTGAAGCTGTGTTGCACTCATGATGCATTCTTTTGTACTCGATATCCTTTTAAGAGCAGTTCACAAAAAAAAAATGAGACACATTTAATGTTCTATCAATGTTACTTGTTTCGTTCCTTACCTTTTCCCCATCTCTGGGGTATTTCGGTGTTGCGTGAATGGTCACATTCCTGGGTGGAACTTGATCACCAAAGGAAATGAAATACAAAAGAAGTATGTTATTACTTTTGTCGTAAGACAGCGACAACAAAGCGACACATTGTTTGTTTTTTTTTAAGATGAAACAGTAGGTTCTTCACAGTATGTACTGTGCCTTACTCTAGCCGAGAGTAATTTCTGTGGCCTTGGATCTTGAAAATAATTAATGATAAAGAATTAATATTCCGATCAGATTAAGTTATGTACTTAGAATGAAAGTAAAAATCGACCTGGAAATAAGTATAACTAATTAAGTTTACTGTTACTGCTTATCAAGATTAGAATGCATTGTTTCATTAGTTCCTAGATACTTTCGGCCGTAATTCCATTTACAGACGTTTTGTTTTCCGTATTCATAAACCACGTGGTTTAGGTTTTGACAACCAATATGTCCATTGTTGCATATATGGGTATGAATATATATAGAAAATGTTTACGTTGCATATTGAAAACTCATTACATCTTATTGATAAAAAAACATGCCCATACATATGAGAAATTTAATATTTCGATCTAATACCGTACACTCGCATTATTAAGTCGATTCTTTTTTAAACTATGGGTAATAGAAAAATGATTCAGGGAAGAACACTTTTTAAATTATTATTGAAAATGTAGTATTTTTGATGAGCCAGCAATAAATATTTTTCTACACCATACAACGTTTGACTTTACTGTTTGTAGGAGTCACAGTCACATATGTTTGCCTGCAGACACACATCCTGGAAACAATAGCTTAAAATGTTCATAACATTTCACAAATTACGCTTCAACTAAACGCAATATTTGAATGAGAAGCGAGATTTACGATAAGCAGATTTACGGATTCAAACCATTGAGAATCCTAGAGTTCGTTTCTCCGAATTCTTCTGGATAATATGTCACTCACGAATATTTTTACTCATTTTTTTCCAGATAAAAGCTGTTTGTTTAGCAGCCCTGATAAAGTTTGTTCATGCACACCAAAGAAGTGAAAACTGGGACTTGCAGCAACTTTAGGTGGTTTGTTTGTATGTTTGTATCTGATATTCGCGCCAAGTTACACATGTTCTACCTGATCTAGTCGTCCCTAATTTTCAGTTTATAAATAAAGGGAAAGCAGCCAATAAACACTACCCACCGCCAATTCTTGGGCTACTCTAGCCGAATAGTGAGGTTTGATCCACGACAGCATTCTGCTGAGCACAATTTTCCTGCAACAGAACATGAATAATCGACCCTCAAGTTTACAGTCTGGTAATCTAACCACTAGGATATGTCCTGACCACTTTGTTGGTTAACACATCCCAAAACATATGTTCCAAATAATATAGTTACTATCACAATAACATATGAGCACGATTTTCCTGCAACAGAACGTGAATAATCGACCCTCAAGTTTACAGTCTGGTAATCTAACCACTAGGACATGACCTGACCACTTTGTTGGTTAATACATCCCAAAAAACATGTTCCAAATAATATAGTTACTATCACAATAACATATGAGCACGATTTTCCTCCCACAGAACGTGAATAATCGACCCTCAAGTTTACAGTCTGGTAATCTAACCACTAGGACATGACCTGACCACTTTGTTGGTTAATACATCCCAAAAAATATGTTCCAAATAATATAGTTACTATCACAATAACATATTCTTATATACAAGAATATGAAGAACTGAGACATTCGAAATTTTCAGTAAGCGACTCAAACACATTATATTTATATGCTTTCCGAATAGATAACACTTAGTATGTTCCAAATAATATAGTTACTATCACAATAACATATTCTTATATACAAGAATATGGAGGGCTGAGACATTCGAAATTTTCAGTAAGCGACTCAAACACATTATTGTTTATATGCTTTCCGAATAGATATTTTAAAATAATTCTTTGTTTATTTAATTTTGCGCTAAGCTACTCGGCGACTATCTGCGCTAGTCGCTTTTAGTAAAGAAGCGATTGACTAGAGGGAAGGCGGCGAGTTAACCCCCACCTCACCTTTAGCTCGTGAGCTACTTATTTCCAATGAATAGTAGGATTGACCTTCTCATTATAAAGCCACCACAGTTGCAAGGACGAACATGTTCGGTGATGGGATTCGAACTCGCAATATGTACCACCAGGTCTTGTCAGGTCATGATGATGAACTAGTGTTATTTTGAATATATTAAAGTATAAAATACAATCAAACCTCGTATTATTAAAGTCACGAATCTTACCTTTCGGTTGCTCTTTTAAGTATTATAAGAAGTGCCAATCAATTCTAGTTTTCCAAGATGTATATATATATGGATGTTCCACTTTTCTGTTTATATATTTGCTAGTCCTCAGGGAAAATCATGTTCAAATCCTTTACTTATCAATACTTACAATTGACGGATAATTGAATGCGAGCGATGAGAGGGTTAACAGTGGCAGAATTAGAGGCTTCACATCGATAAACTGCGCCGTTGTCTTCCCGTCTTGCTTTGATCATCAGTTCGCTAGAAATACCGCTTCCAGTAATACGAGACTGAGTGCTGATCTGAGACACAAATTAGAGTAAAATTCTGTTTTAAGCTCCATGAGACGAAAACTATCAATTTATGCTCTGACATTTCATCGATTTTATATAACTTACAAAAAAGTAAGGGCTATTGATTGTGAAGAAAATAAATGTTCATAACCTATACAAAAATATGCCGCTAGTATGGAGCTCTATGGCTTTTATTCTACGCATGTGATTTATTAATAGGAAGCATCTGAATGAACCAGAAAAGAAACTGAACAAAAACTGCTATATGCATACATGTTCGTACTAGAAGCTTCTGAATTACATAAAGTGTAAAAGTTCTTAGGATACTGTTTCTTTTATGGATTGTTTTGAACGATATAACATATTTTCTTCATTAAATAATAAAATAGTGGATTGTTATAGAGCAAATAAACTATCAAAATATACGTAATGTGTTACTCCTCTATTCAAAATTTGTAGGAAACATGAAAATACATTTGTACGTCCTTTGAAATTATTACTCTTACATATTATGTAGAGAGTATTGTGTATATTAACTCACAAACAAAGGTTCATGAACATAGAACTATATTTCAGTAAGTCCCTTAAGGGACGATAAACAACTATTGTATATTTGAATATCGGACATTTTTATCGTATACAGAGAAGTAAAGCAATTTGAAACCGGTCACGTGGCACTAAGCACTTCAAGAGAAGAAAAAGGTACCAAGGGAAAAACACAATTGGTAGGTTGATTTTTTTTCTTTTTTTACTATATGTAACCATGAAAAACAGTCCATAAAAAATTCAACCATGCAGTTTTTATGCTTGGCTAGAGTTTCAAGAAAATAACAAAGTCTACTACGATAACGTATAATGGTGCAGATTATGGATAAGGGGATGAAAAATAGAGTCAAATTACCCCCATTTTGCATTGAGGAATATTTAAGTGACATCAACTGACTCTCGCTATATATATCAGGCCGTGCAAGTGAGTTCATAATCTTTATAAATGTGAATACCATTGGTTAAAAGAAAATAGTTTCATAAGCGCATTTTGTATAAAATTTTGAGTTTGCTGTAACTTCGATTTCAACTTTAAGTAATGCATATAATTTTCGGTCTTGATATTCTGAAATGATTAAGCAAACCTTAAGACACATACATCAGTTAGGCTAGTTTTCCACATCATGATGGATTGAATGTCATGTGATGTACTTTTACACGTAAATTGAAACTTAATGAATACAATAAAAAAAAACCCTACCTTTCTCTCTCCACGAAACCACTGTAGACTAGCTGGAGGGTTACCTCCAAGCGAAATACAGTTAAACCTCTGAATGTCTCCTACCAAAATAGGGTTTCCTTCCTCATACTCAAGAATGGCTGGTGGATCAGGTGGATCTGTTACAGTAATACGCATCTTAACTTTTATTGGAAAACAGACAACAATCTGTGTAATTTTACAGTAGATAAATGTTAAAATTACAGTCGTTCTGAGGAACAAGTCCAGTTTGTTTCATGAAGAAAATTAATGTAATATTTCAATGAGGTTTTGCTACGTATATTTACGTATTAAACTTTGAAGAAGAAAGTTAGTTACGGTATACAAAACTAAGAGAATGTTGAAGTTAGCCGTCATCTACTCCACACACACATACGACAATTGTTCATACGCTCCAAGACATCATTCTAATAACATTTTCTTCTCTCATCGATTTGATATCTATTTTGATATTGTTTTAAAATAGTTTGTTTGTTTTCAATTTCACGCAAAGCTACACGAGCGCTATCTGTGCTAGCCGTCCATAATTTAGCAGTGTAAGACTAGAGGGAAGGTAGCTAATCATCACCAACTCATGGGCTACTCTTTTACCACTTTTTAAAAGCGGGATTGAGCGTAATATTATAACGCCCCCACGGCTAAAAGGGCGAGCATATTTAGTGGTATGGGGATTCGAACTCGCGACCCTCAGATTGCAACTCAAGCGCTCCAACCAACTGGCCATGCCGGCCATTTTAAGAAAGATAATTGTTTGTTTGTAATTAAGTACAAAGCTACACAATGGACTATCTGTGCTCTGCCCACCATGGGTATCGAAACCCGGTTTCTAGCATTCTAAGTCCGTAGACATACCGCTGTGCTACTGGAGGGGAAGATAAAAAACTATATTCTCTATTTAAGAAAATGTGCAAACATTTATTTTATGTCTCTAAATATTAATTTTTCTAAGTAAAAAAGAATGACAGTCAATAAATTGATAAATTTGACGCTATTTTGTGTACTTGTAAATTATATTTATAGTTCAAACTGCCAATATAACAAAGAAAACTTTTTAAAATTCCTAAAAATTTGTGTAGTATGTTTTAGAAGTGTGTGAAAAATAACCGTTGTTTTAAAAAAAATTGTGAATTTTTTAATAAAAGAAACCTTTTTGTTCCATAGGTCAAACCTCAGTTTAGTATATATATATATATTTGTATATTATTTTTGTTAAAGATTAATACTGTTAATTTCCACCAGAAATAAAATTGGTGACAGTGGAACTTCAAATCCAAGAATAAAATGTTATCATTTCTTTCTATTACCAAAAATAGGGGAGCCAAAATACCGTCCAAAGAAACAAAACCATGAACTAGACACAAATTAAAAGCAATATAGAAATACGAATATTCAAGTTAAAACTTCAGTTATGCGTGCTTCTGTTGAACCACATAGGTTTTTTTTTTGCATGAAGAACAATCTTGTAACCACCAAAGTAGATACTGAATGTATAAATACACTGCAAATATATGTATATTAACTTTGTTGATTAATTTACATAAAAGGCCTCAGAAAAGAAAAAAAAAAGAAAAGAATCAAACCGGAGATTAGAAAAAATGCCTTTTAAAACATTAAAATAATTTATTATAACCAAAACTTTGATATATAATAAATCAAAAATGACATAGAAGAACCAAAAAAAAAAAAACTACTCACGTGTACTGGAATAGCATAAACGGAATTAAGAAAAAAGTATACAGCCCAGCCTTTCGCATGCACCCCTTTATATGAACAAGATGCATTTTTTTAAGTGCTTTTTTTGTTTTGTTATTGATGATTGATAGTATCAAGATAGAATTTTCTCGAAAGAATGTTATCGTCTTATTCAAAGTTAAGATAAGAATATCTAGTTATCAAGATGTCCTCGAAAAAACAACAAATTTTACTGGTGTTTAGAAAATATTATAACAAAAGATTAATGTCAGGAAAAACTGAAAATACATATATATAACATATCTATAAAATATAATGTGTGTATGTTTAGACTTACTGCATAGAATAAAATATTTTTATTTACATTTCTGACACTAATTAATGATACTAAAAAATTAGAACAAAAAATATTTGTTTGTTTGATGAATTTCGTATAAAATACTCCAGGAGTATCAAACCACCGGCCGCCAACTTTTCGTCTGCTCTTTACCAACTAATAGTGGGATTAGTTGTCATATTGTAACGCCCTTACGGCTGAAAGGGCGAAATTGTTCGGTGAAAGGTAGAAAGAAAAAGATAAATCACAGCATGACATACACCGAAAACCCAAGTCCTTTTGGAAGCTTAACCTTTCTTTTTCAAGATTGAATACCGAAAATTTGATATATTCAATATAACTAATAATTCCATCATTTTAATCTATAAAGATATCATTGTAATGTATTAAAACTGTGATCCAGCTGCTACTAATATAGTACAGAGGGTTAACAGTAATTTATGGAAAGCTATTTGCATATGCTACTCCAGTAGTATGTTTCTGCACGTGAGAACCGTTATGCCAACACAGGGTTCACGACAACTTACAGATTATTCGACAATTCAATATACCACGTCTATACGTATGATTCGATGATTGTGTCACAGTCTTCCCAAGGATAAATGTTCTTATAACAAAAGTGTTAAACGATGTGCATACAAAGGGCAGAACATTTTACGAAGTCTTCAATCCTCTCCATAAAAAAAAAGTTGAATAGGAAAGTCTAGGTTCTGAAACACTCGTCAGGCTAATTTTGTATAATGTTATTATCCGTAAAATGGGGGTTATTGAACGAAACAGATCCCCCCCCCAAAAAAAAGTGATGAAGTTAGGTATATGTGTTAGTATTATTAACACGGTAACAAACAAAGGACTTATAAGTGCTAGTATTATTAACATGGTAACAAACAAAGAACTTATAAGTGCTAGTATTAATAACATGGTAACAAACAAAGGACTTATAAGTGCTAGTATTATTATCACGGTAACAAAGAAAGGACTCATAAGTATTAGTATTATTAACACGGTAACAAACAAAACTTATAAGTGCTAGTATTAATAACACGGTAACAAACAAAGGACTTATAAGTGCTAGTATTGTTAACACGGTAACAAAGAAAGGACTTTAAGTTTACGCTAAAGTTCATAGACTTCTAAACATACCTTGAAGTTAAAATTTGTAGTCGTGAGAAAAAAAAAAGACGATGGAATGGACTTTTGTGGTTTTGGTCTATTTACATGATCTTGTAAGCCGACATCCATGTACGGTGAGGGGAGTGAAAGTTTGTATGATTTGTGGTCTCGCCATCTTTCGTAGAAGGTTAATTCAATGAAAATTGCACTATGAGGTAATAATGTGTAATCGTAGCCATATGAATGAGTACTATCGATGCAGGAAGTAGTTTGAAGGCTGTTGAACATCGTTATTTTAAAAAAGTGTGAATGAGAAAATATTATAGATTCTAATACTTAGAAACTGTTTAAGTGTTAATAAAAGACATTTCTATCGGAGTAGGTGTTAGTTGTAAGACTAAATCAAATAACAAACGAATATTTTGAATGTTTTAGACCTAATACGATAGTTTAACGTGAATGATCAGAAGTTAGATAAAATAAACTAGTTAACTAGTAAATTTTAAAAAGTTTGGAAATCGTTTGAAAAAAAACAAAACAGTTCGTATTTAAACGAATATGGGAATAGCGAGTAAGCAACGTTACTTCTTATGTATTTGATAAGACCTTAAAATTATTTTCACCTCAGTATCTTCTGATGCTTGTAGCTTCGTGTCTGTACGATTATATAAAAAGACACACGATAGTGTGTCGTGCGGCAAAAACAACTTGCTCTAGGACATATTGTGTATCTTTAACAGGACTGATAGTTTAGCAATTTTCCACCTTCTGTATCTCGAATTCTGGTAACCAAAATATCACATATTTTCAGTGTATGTGCTATACTGGACTCTTACTTCACACACCAAATTTCAAGGTGTTATATATATATGTTCTTATATAATTAAGAAATACCAGAAATGTAACATCTCCAATTTTGATTACGTTAGCTGGGACTCGTATTTTGTTTTACCTACATCATGCCCCAAGTTGAACAAAAAACGCGGTCTGGCTAACTAATGAATAAATATTTGTTGTAAAATTCGTGTTACTGCTATAACTGTAGCTACCACTTTAACCGCCAATTTTCATTTCATTCCTTTAAGTTGCACTCTCAATCACTTTTGGCCGCACCTTTTTTCTTTTTATACCTAAGGTGTTTTTGATTCGATATATATATATATATATGTATATAGAAACAAACTGTAAAATTAAATATATTCACACCTTTCTATCATCCATTGTCCGAGTAGACTTCGCAGATTGTTGTATAGAAAGACAAGTTATAACAATTGCGAATTTTATTTCGTCACCCTCCAGTGGTTCAGTGTTAAGTCTATTGGCTTACAAGACTATAAATCGGGTTTAGATACCCGTAATGAGCAAGCACAGATACCCTATTGTGTAGCTTTGTGTTTAATAACAAACCAAACCAACTTTTTTCGTTCTATATTGTGTATCAACAAAGAAAGAACATTCGTATAACAATTATATATAAAAAACAATGAACTTATATAGAGAAAAATATTAAATTTGATTAATTATGTTTGTAAATAATAACTTGTTATGGAAATATGGGCAGGAATAATCAAATATCTATGCATTTGAAATGGATAAAAGTGCAAACAAAATCTGTAGCAAGTGAAAATTAGTTACTAAAATATTGGAGATTTTAATATCTTGATAATCATGTCACACAATGATATTATCAAAATACAAGAATTACATTGCTATTAGTGACTAATTATGTAATATGATTGTGTGAGTCACTAATAGCAATGCAATTCTTATTTTATTTCTTTTTATATTAAAATATGTCTAAGATTGCATAATAGTTGTCGTTTCTGTTAGTTTACCCATCTGGCTGAGAGGGTGGTTTTGCATTAATGAATAGAATTCAAACCCATTTGTGTATAACTGATTGTGTACGGAATATATTTCCCATTCCTTTATCGATGTTTAAAATCCATCATTTAATGTATTCAGAACATGTCTGTGTGTACTGGTACTTGGATTGTTACACTTACACGAAAATGCTTTCATTTTGTTATGTTAAATACGTTTTATACGTTAGAACTGGTTTGTGGTATTTGTAGAAGTACGTTAACATCAGGTTATTTTCTGATCACCAAAAACCTGAACATCTCGGAGGAATAAAAAGAGGGGCAAGTTAGGTTAGTTTTGAATTGTTCCACCTTTTATCAGTAACCATCAGAAACGGGCAAGCCAAATCTGGCTTCTTCTGGTAGCCGACTGCAATGTTCATGTATAGTGTTTGAAGTTCCTTTTATCTACCACGTATAACCTATCTTTTGTTAGAAATTTGAAGGATATCGAACATTGAATCTAGCAAGTTATTATCCCATACTGCTTAATGGATAATATGTTTGAACTAATGTTGGGGGATTTTTTTTTTCTTATCACAACAATTTGCAGCACGAATATACCCCAAACCCCAAGTCCGAGAACCTCCTGTTGTTTGCGGGCCTACCCTTCAACTCTGTAGTCAGTCTTTGGCTTAACACCAGTAATCAATTTTCTATGGACTCTTGGTAATGTTTGTATTTAGCGTCCATAAATGATAAAATCGTTACATACAACCTATATAAAAATTAATGTTAAATTTCCCATAGATTGAAAAACAATATAAGCTTTGTTAAATACTAACATGCTTCTGAATTTGTAGTTATTTAGACGAAATGTCCCACTGGCGTGAGTCACTTATCGTGAACCATCCAAAATCATTTGTTTTCTAGTCACAAGGCACTCATCTTTGTTGATACGAAGCTACACAACGAGCTATTGGTGTTCTTCCCTCTGCATGTATAGAAACCCGATTTTTAGCGCTATAAGTCCTCAGACTTATCACTGAGCCACCGGGTTTTATATTTGGGATTAAAGATTTGAATACCTAAATGATTAATAAATGGCACCTATTTTTATTAAGATTTCTTGGGCAGTGGCTCCTGCAGTTAAGGCATAACACAAATCTTTTTTTTATGAACTTCTGGCTAGAAATGTTTAAAACGAAACCTGAGAATTATGTGTTTAAGACATCGAACGAAACTCTCGTTTGAAATAATGCACTGTAAACACATTTGAAATGTTACATCCGAATGGCTATAATCCAAGCCTTGTCAAATAACATACGTTTAAATATAATAAAAGCAAATCGTGATAGTCCATAATATCTCGTAGATCCAACTAATATAAGAGTAATAAATGAACGACATATGGAAGATGTTTTTTAACCTGCAATGATAAATATATGGACCTCATGATAACTGCATTATTCATCCCCACATCTAGTGATTATTCCGTGATATGGTTACTAATTTTTTTTTCCACTTTCAGAACTGCACGATGCTTCATGTTATGACTATTCCATGATGAGGTAATTATATTATTCATTCCCACATCTGCACGATGTTTAATATAGAAAACATTCGGTTACACTTCTCTGATGAGATAGGATTTTTTTTTCTACGGACGATGTTTGTTTCCATTATTTAACAATGTGAAATAGAATATGCCAAATCAGGAAGCTTAACGTAAGCTTACAAATAAACCTAATAAAGATACACGAGGAACATATACGAAGAAAAGCGTTTCTGCTAATCCCACATTTATATTTTTCAAAATGTTTTCAATATTCATGGATTTGCGCTTACTAAAAAAAAAAAAAAATATGTGATTGTCACATCAAGCGGTAGCGACGAAACGTTTAGATATATTTATTCTATAAGACTGTTATATAGATATTGATATTTTTGGCGGGAAATAGTGAGCAGCGTTCTGACACTCTAGTGATAATGTTAGCATTTCCTTTCGCCTGTTGAAGTATCAATCTAGAAATGAGAAGTTATAAATATCTACTTCACTGGTGATCTTTGTAAAAAATGTCGTTAACATTAAATTTCTCGTTGTAGGAGTATAGCTACTATAACTCCTGTCCACTCTCATGTTTGGAACCGAACGTGGTAACGAAATATTATCATATATATTGAAACCCAGTCTCCACCGAAGTTGCTAAGACGCTGTTATTGTCAGCATTCTGATCTATATACAAAAATGATCGCAATAACGTGAGTCACGGCTTTATTTTTGAGAGAGCTCACTCATATCACATGCGTGATCTGTCAGAATAAGTGGAAATACTTGAAAATTAATTCAACTCACGGGAAGACATTATATATTAGAGACGAGAAAAGGGTATTATTGCTAGGTCGAACACGTATTTTTTTTTACAACGTATGCTTTTAGATTTGATAATATTTTCAATTTTTTTTAAATCTTTGAATATCTGTTTTCTTAACGGCGGTTAGTTATCTAAAGCTATATGTAGTGTATCATGTTGAATACCTATTGTTGAATACCTATTTCACCACTTCGTTCATTGATTATTACACGTGTATATATTTTTCGTGTGCTATTATGTACCTAATGTATTTGGTAACATTAATCCCGGAAAACAAAATTATAGAAATAAGCTCTTATTGTTTCAACCAACTTACTAAGATAAGATAGTATTTTAACTTCCTACTTAACAGTTAGATATTATATGACAGATATATTGTAAGTATTATTTAGCGTTGTAAATTGTAATACGATTTTTGAGAAGTAAGGCAGTAGGAGTATTCCAAAATATTTATTGATTACAAAAAACTATAACACATTCTTAAGTATTAAACCGTTTTTCTTACATGAAACTTTTATTTGCAAACTTCCATTGGTGTAGCCAATGCCTTCATCTCCTGCTCGACAGACTACAGTCTTGGAATCCGCATCCTAAACCACCAATAAAATCATAGTTTACGAAATTCATATCAAGTAACTTTTGTGTGCTATTTTCCAAACTATTAATTAACGATTTACACAATTAAGAATTGGAAAATATTCTGAAAGTTACATATGTAAATACATCAAATACATCTCATAATTAATGATGACTACAGTGAAGTACAATTAGTTGCCCAGAAAATACGTATTTGAACTATGATGCCTAAGTAGTGTTAGACATTGTTTGAGTTAAAGCACAAAGTTACACAGTAGGTTATCTTAAATATGTTTATTGCAGGAATCTAACTCCGATCTTTAGCATTATAAGCCCTAACACATACCTCTTATCAGCGATTGGCTGTTAGAAGTTCTTAAAACAAGTGTAAGGAACCAATAAACAAGGTGTTTAAAATCTCATTCATATTCTTACAACAAGAATGGATGAACGTTCTCACAACATGTTGCCGTTAATAGGTACAATCCGAATCTTTATATATTTTTCATTGGGAAGTGTGATAGAGATATCCAATACCATTAATTCAGAAAAACTATATTGGGAAAAACTGCTTTTTAGGGGGGTTATCAAGTGTGCTTGTTCTGAGTGATGCATTAAATAATGAGGAAATAAATGTTACGTTTTGCAGCGTTACACATGCATCTAAGGTTACTGCCAGTTTCATATATTAGGCACGAAATAAATAAATATACCATTGTCACAGTTTCCTGGTACCTTCAACGTTAGCTTTTTCCCTCCCCACAGTGGCTCAGCCTTAAGTTTGAGGACTTATAACGCTAAACTTCGAAGCTTGATCCCTGCAGTAGGCACAAAGCAGATAGTCTAATGTGATACTTTGCCTTTAAAATAAAACAAGTAAAGAAAAACCTTACAATTTAAATAGAAGAAATATTGGCAAGCTAAGCAAAGATAGTTCATTGAAAATCTGAAAGAAAAATGTTTTTTCACATTTTTGTTCTTTCAAGAGTTGGAGAATTTACCTGCCTGGTGAGGGAGATGGTGATCTTTGACTTGGTGACCCAACCATCAATAGTTTTTGTTGTGTACTCTTCTTCTCCAACAATATACCTGCCATTTACTCGCCACCTAACGTTGGGTGCCGGGTTGCTAGGTGACGTGGTACAGGTGACAGTAATAACATCTCCTCTCCTAGCTTCTGGTGGTCCAGTTACGTAAACTCCTTCTGGTGGATCTGGAAAGAATTTAGGACAACAGTGCTGGTTGAGGTTAATTGTGTCGATATGCTTGCTACAGAAGCATGCCTTAGCTAGAGATAATTTAAATTTGTAATTAAAATTCATGGAAATACTCACTTATTGAAATGAATCTAATTACCTGATGTTAAATTTGTAAAATTCTTATGTCACTTTCATATAACACTTTATAGAATGTATAGAACTTGTGAAATGATTTGTTATTATTAGTAGTTTATTTGTTTGTAGTTAAGCAAGATACAGAATGGGCTATTTGTGCTGTGCCCATTATAGGTATCGAAATATAAAATCAGTATCCAGTTAAATGACACAGCACAGCTTCAAAACTAATTAACGTAAATAAAATAAGGATGAACCGCGATTATAATACGATTCACAATACCAGAGACTTAGAAATTTTAAAGTTCTTAACAATGACAGTTCAAAGTTTTCTCTTGGAGGAATTTTCGTTTTTACAGTGGATGATTGTAATACCAGGCATAATTAAATATTTCGCTCCTAATAACAACCAATACTGTTACCCATAGAGCATAAGATGCACAACATAACTTTTACCTCACTGACCTCCTTGAATATTTATACTTATGTTCACAGATTAATTATCAATTAATTCCTAGGCCAGGCCACGACTGATGCACTAAGTTTCTTCGTCATTAATAATCACACAGAAAGTGTCACAAACAGCAAAATCTATAAATAAACAACGCTAAATGGGCACTAAAGTAATACTAAGAAACCATATTAATAACATGGTTTAGTTCACCCAAAACAAAAGCAACTTAATATCGTTTTTAAATACACAAAATAATTTCTCATAATTATCCACCAAACGTTTTACCTGCATTTCAAATATGACACAAACTCAATCACATTACTAGAGAACGTAACTTTTATTATTGTACGATTGAATAGTATAATGGAACAATATAATAAATCCTGATGGCAATGAGCCATCGATGAAGTATCAAGAAATTAAAGTCGATAAAATGGTCACTCCTGTATATTACCAGTTTTAACCTTCTGCCATAAGGCAGAATGCTATGTAACTATTGTTCAAGTGACCCTTTGAATGAACACAAATGGATGATCAAAGCTTAATTTTACTTTTGAACAACTTTGATTTAAGGTAAGCATATTGATTTTTTTTTTACAAAGAGGATATTTCAGAAAATTTCAATTTATTGATTTCAAACAACGAGAAATTCTATACAGCCGAATACGAAATAAAAGAAACATACTTTAAGTTCACTGATTTTTTATAACATTACCTTACGGTGTAAGGCTTAGGGTAAGACGTGTCCCGCTGTTGTGGGGTCATCTTACCCTAGGGTAATGATCTATATTTCATCTATAAGCTTCATCCCCACATTGGTACCTACGTCCATTACCCTAGAAAATGTGCATGGTCTTCCCAATCTATGCTGAGAGCATTTTTATATGAAGACCCAAATGATTTAAATGCAACTGCTCAATTCAGTAGTTATATTCACTTGCAGTTACTGTTTTATGGGATCGGTTTACCTTATCTTGGGGGGGGGGTCATTTTGTCCATCTTTTCAGATACAACGGCCCCAACCACATGAAGTATATTTTTTTCAATACATAAAATACTTCTATGTTCAATCTTTGTTTTAACTATGAATGACATTTATAATAATAATACAGGCTCATTTAAAAATATTTTGATTTTCATGACATTCATCTTAATTGGCGAAAACGGCATTCAAACTTAGATGGTCATTTTACCCATTTTCCAATATTCTAAATTTTGCAAAAGTATTTGGCAATGCCAAGCCTATTTTGGGCCGCAGCACATCAAAAACCGTATGTTCGATGCAAATGAATCGGTGGTAAGAGTGTCATTAAACGTTACTTTCCTTGGGCGTAGACAACACGTACTTTGCTACCAACATCCTTGCTGAATTGAATACTCATTTGCGGCATTAAGATTGAAAACTTGAGTTGACTTTCTATTTTCACCTTTATCTCTGGAAGTCAACCTGAGATCATATACCAAGTGTCATCGAAACTGACAAAATAGCAGCTCTTCTTTTTATATATAAACAAAAAAAAAGAAATTATTTGAAAATATGATTATGGCTTTGCTGAATTAAGTTCAATATAAACGTAAACATAAACGTGAAATTCACCTATTCTGTAGGAGCCTTGTACAGATATATTTTTAACACTAGATTTCAGTAAACAATTCTATTTATAGACAACGGACGTTTGTTTGTTTATAGTTAAGCACAAAGCTACATAAAGGGCTATCTATGCTCTGACCACCACGGGTATCGAAACCCGATTTATAGTGTTGTAAATTCACAGACATACTGCTGTGTCACTGGGGGTGGAGGGAGGGCAGATAATGGACAAGAAGCGTTTAAAAGTTTGAAATGAATCCATATTTCTCCTTATTCTTTCATTAAAAATACATATCGGAGTCTTTTGTTTGTCATTTATATTAAGATATTTGAAAATAATTCTGCGTGTGCTGGAAATCTTACTTGTAATTAAAATGTGTAACGAGTAAAGGAACTTACATTGGACGGATATGGTTATTGATGCGGACAATGGCTTTGTTACAACGCTGCTACTAGCTTCACACCGATAAGTGACGTTGTTGTCGCTTGCTGTTGCCGTGAAGGTCAGAATGCTTGCAGCCATGCTGTTATTATAGTTGTAGTTACCATTCAGAGACGTATTAAACCGAAACCAACGTAGCTGGGCAGGTGGATTTCCTCCTTCGGAAACGCACGTTAAAGAAACAATATCACCTTTCGTTATTACGTCTTTTCTCGTATACCCAGTTATTACAGGCGTTTCGGGTGGATCTGAGAAAATAAAAATAATTCCGATTATGTGATGTTATGTATATTTTTATGAATTGTCTTGGATCTGAAGCAAATGAAATATAAGAGGGTTGACAATGAAAATTGATGTATCATAAATAAATGAAGATGTATTTTCAAACGAATATGTTCAATGCCACAAATGATGGTTTATGAACATAAGGACTCCTTATGGCTCTGTATTGTCTATTCTTATTCTTTTGAGCTAAAATCATCCATAAATGACATTATGATAGATACTGTAAAAGATACAAGATAAACAAATGTTTACCTGTATGAACATAATAAAAGATTACATTTATAACTTTAATCTCATTATAAATCTATGAAAATATTTTTGTTTTAGATAATGCTATCTCTAAATGTTAGATAAAACCAAAAACATGTGAAATAAGTTCATAACTTGTAATATTATAGCTAAGGCAAAACTAACTGTTTCAGAATAATCTATTAACTCCCCTCAGTCAATAATCTATTAACTCCCCTCAGTCTATTATTTTGCAAATCACCCATTTGGTGATCACTCATGTGATCTTAAATAGTGATTGGTCATTTAGCCTATGATATATATAGTAGTCTCGCACTATCGTCTCATTTATCTTTGAAGTGAATCAGTTGCTTCACATTGCTCCTGAGCCATAGGAATACTTCAAAGAAGCCATCAATGTGTAGAGTTATCAGATGAGCGGAAGACAGCCAATTAGAGTCGGTTGAAAATTGACAAAAGATGTCTCAAAGTATCATCAGATGTTCTTCGCCACAACGGGACACTGTGGTGTCTAGTGTATAAGTGATTAGAAAAATATTTAACAAGGCTGACCTGTTTGCCAGACAGTCAATGAAGCACATTCCGTTCGCAGTAAGGCACAAAGCAGCTCGCCTGCAATGAATGCTAAGATCACTTCTAGTAATCCAACAACATGAGGAGCACTATTCATTTTCATAGACGAGTAACATTTTTCTCTTCCAGTCTGATGATAATATGGAATCAGATCCAGTTTATTTTCCATGCTGCAAAGTGATGCGTTTGGTGCTGGTGAAAGTTGATATGGAAAGGAATAAGCACTGGTGTAGGTACGACAGAATGACGCCATTAGTTTCATATCTAGTAAGAGCAATATTTTACAATCCATCGTGTTATCTTATAAGGTGCAATTAGTCCTGGCTTCATTCTAAAGCATGATAATGGCCGTCTTTATTTTCTGAAATTGGTAATTAAATTATTTTAGAAAATCTGATTGATTCGAATGAAGAGGAACGCATGCTCAGTAGAATTTAATCCTGTGAAGTATGTATATAACACTCATGGGACGAGCGTTACATCCTGTCAAATAGCTCCAGGTCTAAAGAGGTGTTGGAAACAGCTATTTTAGAAGAGAGTTTGAAAGTTATTCACATTTTGTTTCTAAGTTTTGGTGCCACACTTCCCTTGATGTTCGAACTGACCATCTTAGAATGACTGTAATGATATGAAGCTACCCATTACTAAATGTTTATTTCCAATCGTAGGCTGAATGCCAAGTCATTTGTATTTCGAAACATAGGATGGGTCATAAGGTGGCTGATTGGATGAATATTAACTGAAATGAATTTTTATATCACTTTATAGCAGTGGTCTTGCTTTGTTATAGACAAAATATTATGGATTCAAATTATTCTTTAATAGTTTTGGAGAGTGTATCTTAAAAAAAATTACTATGACTAATTAGTATTTCTGCTCAATATATATATATGTGTTATGTTTTATTTATTTGCAGATACTTTAAAAGATAAATATATGTTAAAAAGTACTTACAAAGGACACTTATGGTGACAGAAGTTTTCCATGCTAGTGGCATGGCAGGATGGACGGCTTCACAAATATAGATGGCGCCATTGTCGTCCAAAGTGGGGTATAACAAAATCGTACTTACTGTTGTGTACAGTTTGTTCTCTTCCTGTCTAATAACTGTATCTTCTGACTCTAGAAAATAAAATAAAAAACAAAAAAAACTTAATTTTTACAACAAAGGTTAAAAACCAGCAAATAACATAACTTAGTCAAAACAGGCTCAAACAATTATTATAGCGGGGAAATTTAGCCTCTGTGCCAGTTTAATAATAAAAAGACGAAGAACATTTTCATTTGCAAAGCTTCTAACGCTTTGGAATACACTTATTCTACCTTCAGCAGAAGCTAGAAATAATACTATAATTATATTTCTTAACCAATTTTATAATAATATCAATAACTACTTTACTTAAACTGTTCAGTGTGGATATAAACGGAAGGATATTATAGAATTAGTAACGGAAGTGATAAAGTTAGAAATTGTATGAAAATATCAAGTTATAAATATAATTATTGAATCTTAAGCGAAGCTATTTAGAATAATTGTAGGCCTAAGGATGTTCTAAGCCGGGTGGCTTTTCAGTAAGCTTTATCTAACGCGGAGTTCTTGTAGCTTAATGATAGAGAACTGGTTATGTGAAATATTGCGACCTGTGGTTTCATTGTGTGAACGAATAGCTGAGTGATTGCGTTTAAAAAATGGACAGCAGTTCCTATTGGACATTCACACATGTACATAGACTCTAGTTTTTAAGTGTCGTTTTGTAAAAAGAGAAGAAGAAAAACGATTCACCTACTTAATAAGAACCTCTATCCTCAGGCTCATCTCAGGCCAAGCCTACGTTCGTGGTTCGTGTATAATTATACATTTAGTGACTGTAAGGTCACGTACCCTGGCAAAAAAGTTTGTAAAGTTTGAGCCCATAGAAGCAATCCTGATCTCAAGGAATGGTAAGGCTCTATTACTTTCGAGTTCTGATGTGAACATGATATTGTTGAGAGTTCATGTAACTGAGAAATTCAAAAAACGTAACTAGTGGTTCTAAACAGCAAGAAAGTGTCATCAATACGACATTTGTACAGGACGGCTATGAATCCTTGTGGACAGTTTTCAAGCCAAATGGTTTCATGGTAGCATAAGAAAGCTAGTGGATATCGCTGGGCCTAGCGCAGACCCAATGACAAGTCCTTTCATCTGTTCATAAAGTAAGTTATTAAAATGAAATAATTTAACTTTGTGGTGACGACATCAAGATTACTATAGAAAGTAAACATTTTTATAGACATCAAGATTACTATAGAAAGTAAACATTTTTATAGACATCAAGATTACTAAAGAAAGTAAACATTTTTCTAAACATCAATATTACTAAAGAAAGTAAACATTTTTATAGACATCAAGATTACTAAAGAAAGTAAACATTTTTATAGACATCAAGATTACTATAGAAAGTAAACATTTTTATAGACATCAAGATTACTATAGAAAGTAAACATTTTTATAGACATCAAGATTACTATAGAAAGTAAACATTTTTATAGACATCAAGATTACTATAGAAAGTAAACATTTTTCTAAACATCAAGATTACTAAAGAAAATAAACATTTTTCTAGACATCAAGATTACTATAGAAAGTAAACATTTTTATAGACATCAAGATTGCTATAGAAAGTAAACATTTTTATAGACATCAATATTGCTATAGAAAGTAAACATTTTTCTAAACATCAAGATTACTAAAGAAAGTAAACATTTTTCTAGACATCAAGATTACTATAGAATATAAACAATTTTATAGACATCAAGATTACTATAGAAAGTAAACATTTTTCTACCTCTGTTTTTCGTAAAAAGACTTTTACAGACCGTTACACTAATTTTAACACCTTTATCCCAACCTCTTCAAACGAAACCGTGTCATGTCACCTTTACAGATAATTTTTAATTTCTGCTGTTATTACTCTACTTGAAACGAAGAAATTACTCTTCAGCACAAAAGCCTAATAAACAATGGCTATTCGAGTAATTTACTACCCAACATTACTCGCAAATATCTAAACAAATTTCATCCACTCGTTATTTACAAACGTCTCAAAATTTACCCTTTCAGCTCAGACTAAGTACATGTGTACCTCAGGTCACGACGTATCATGTAACGATTTCTCCATGTTTTATAACTGGATCTTTAGACCTTAAACTCGGCATTAATGAAAGTTTACTTAAAGCTAAGAAACATCTGGTTCCTGATGACTTACAGACATCTTTATACTTATAAGTATTCTAAGTAACTTCACCTAATACTCAGCACTTTGTTAAGTATAGTTTATGATGTGTTCATGAAACTTTTAATTTTATTTTAATATACATTCTTCTTCTTCACCAAATATTTGAAGTAAATTAATTATACATTAGGGAATAAATATCATTACAGAATTATTTCCAGATTTAGATAAGTAAGAAAACTCTTATTCTTGTTTCTTTGAGAAACTTTTTTTACGATGGTTGAATTACGTTTCACAGTTCAATAAGGTTCCTGAGTTTCACTTAGTAACACCGATTATGCTTAAAATATTTGTTTGTTATTAAACATAAAGCTACACAATGGTTTATTTATGCTGTGCCCATCACAAGTATGGAAACCCTATATTTAGCGCTATAAGCCATCAAACATACCGTTAAAACATCGGAGGAACGTATGCTTACAAATTAATTTGCTTTTGCGAGAGAGAGGGAGGATTATATTATTATCGTGCTTCAATGCATTGTAAGTATGACTGTCTTTCAGTAAACATTTCCCGAACGTTAAAATATTCAACGCCTGAGTTGTTTATTATAATATCTTGAGTAATTATTTTATAATAAACAGCTGCAGTTTATGACAAATAAATAAACACCCAAGATGAATTTCTCTTTTTCTCACACTCGATTCACTATGATTCTGGTTTTCCAGCTAGAGTTACGGTAACATTTAGCTTTCCTAAAATAAACTCCGAAATTAATTATTAATAATTTTCTAAGTAAAAATAATAGGGTTTCCATAATTATTGAATTAGAAACGCAATGATTATAGACGTATCCGTTTGATAATAAAGGTTTTGGAAGAAGAAAGAGAAACGGTACAAATGCACCCACCTGTTAATAATTGAACATTGTTTCTGTACCAATTAAGTTGAACGCTTGGTTTACTTCCTTGAGAGCTGCAGGCCAAGTTGATTCTCTCGCCTTTGTGAACTTTAATAGTTTTATGAGTGGTTCTTCCATTTATCGTCAGCTGGTCCGGAGGAACTATTTGATATCAAATATTATGATATTCGCTGATAAGTTGAATAATAATAATACATACTGAATTCATTACAAGACGTAGTCTAAACTGTTTGAAGTGTTTGTCACAATTCCGCGAGTTGTTTCAAGAAACGTCAGAATTCTAGATTCTCTGATATAGTTATTTTAGTATGTCCGATAATGATACAGCAAAATGCAACAGAGTAATTATCCTGAATTACAAAAACTGAAAAATATAATCATAAAATCTGACGAATTTTAAAGATAGGCTTATATAAAAACACAACTGAAAGTAAGTGTGTTATAAGCCAGCAGTGATCTTTATGTATGACGTGTCTGCTAAAAATGAAAATGCTATATCCTCTGTATAAATTGATATATAACTATAATTGCTTTCAAATTTTGTAAACACTAATATTTGACATATACGTACCTCGTAGCTTCTTATTAGAACTTATTAGTTCTAGAAACACTAATATTTGACATATATGTACCCCGTAGCTTCTCGCATTATTCTTATGATTACTGAACAACCTAGACTGTTATATATCGTGTGCTGTTTTGCACAGGATATTTTGTAAGGCGAGTAATATGAAATAATAGATCATTTCTTTCTTTCCTGTGTGCTTCGAAAAAAAAAAGCCATTGTTGATTTTTTAAATACAAAGCAGGATTAAGTAAATATCCTGTAGAAAACTTTTGTTTGTTTGTTTTTAAGCACAAAGCTACACAAAGGGCTATCTGTGCTCTGCTCACCACGGGTATCGAAACCCGGTTTCTAGCGTTATAAGTCCGGAGACATTCCGCTGTGCCACTAGGGGGCTGTAGAAAACTACTGCTACACTAACGCTTTAGTAGGTTCCACTGGCGTCTTATTAAAAGCATAAGATTTCTGAATTTAGCATTTAATATCAATTTTGAATGATATATATATATATATGTGGTACCTTTAATTCACTATAAGACATAATCCTACCCAACTCGATTACAAACCTTCCAAAGAAAAATAGAACACATTTGCAAATTCTGCGCATGCGTGTCAATATTTCTTTAGAATTATTGGTCTTTTCTTTCTTGCTTTTTGTAACAGCAGATTATACAACCATTAGCCTAAACCAATATTAACGATTAAATATTTATGATTATGAATGACATTTCGCATGCAATTATTGTATCGAAATGCCCCATATAACACTAGAAAGACTATATTTTCATTATAAGGGTTCAGAACTTTGTCACATTTCATGTCAATATGTTAGAAAGAGAACGACTATATCTTTATTGCAGGGCTTCAGACCGTTATCACATTTCATGTCAATATGTTAGAAAGAGAAAGACTAGATTTTCAATGTAGGGCTTCAGACCGTTATCACATTTCATGTCAATATGTTAGAAAGACAAAGAGTATATTTTCACTGTACAGCTTCAGACCGTTGTCACATTTCATGTCAATATGTTAGAAAGACAAAGAGTATATTTTCACTGTACAGCTTCAGACCGTCATCACATTTCATGTCAATATTTTAGAATGAGAAAGACTAGATTTTCAATGTAGGGCTTCAGACCGTTATCACACTTCTTGTCAATATGTTCATGAAGGAGTTTGTGAGGTTAGCCATTTTGACTATGCTTGGAGCGAAGGTTCTTGTTAAAGTAGTTAGAAATGAGGGATTCTATACAACATTTGTTGCTGCGATACACAACACTTCACACTTAAATCAAAATGTTTCGTTTAAAAGTTGCTTTTACTTAAAAACAATCCAAAAATGCTAACAAACAAGCATGTTAACAACGCTATTTTTATTTCTCATACAGGAAGAACAGTTCAATGTTTATTATCATTTGATGTATCTCATTTCACCGGAGTTATCCATAAACAACAATTTCACTAATTCACACTTAGTTGTAGTTCACACCCATTTCTAGTATAATTTCTTAAAATATTAGCGTGAGCAGAATTATTCATTTTAGCTAACTAGTTTTATGTTAAAATTAATATAAAAGTAAAGTATTTTTTTCAGAAAAACAACAACTTTAATTTTAAGTAAAGCTAGAAATAAAATTATACATTTGAACCGAAGTATAATAAGCTGGCTCTTATACTGAAGGAAAAATGGTCTCGTTTGCTTAACTACATTAAAGAATATATATCCTGAATCCAATAATATAATGTTTATAATTCGGATATTTCTGGGCCATTCAGAATAACTTCCATTAGATAGAGGCCTATCGACATTTGATGCATAACACCAGAATGTAATAAAACTATTTCAACTAAGCTCAAATCACGATTCTTTATCCATTCGCGTTTGTTTTAACGAATTTTAGTTCAAGGGAACAACGTCATTTGAACGAATTTTGCCATAAAAATACCTCGTTCTTCAACTCAAACTCAAGAGAAAATGCCTAGTTCTTCAACTCAAACTCAAGAGAAAATGCCTAGTTCTTCAACTCAAACTCAAGAGAAAATGCCTAGTTCTTCAACTCAAACTCACGAGAAAATACCTAGGTCTTCAACTCAAACTCAAGAGAAAATGCCTAGTTCTTCAACTCAAACTCACGAGATAATACCTAGGTCTTCAACTGAAACTCACGAGAATTGTTTTCATATAGTATTACCGAAGACATATAATTTATCGAAATCATAGCTGACCTTTAACTCTTATTCCAATGTGGTACAATTCCATCAAGTTGTGTTAGACTTTCATTTCGTTATATATATATACTATTATACTCCGTGAGCTCAACCTTCAATCTACAATACAGTGACGGATTGACCCTTGGGTGCTACATATTACTTCCGTCCCAACGAATTCAATTCCAATAAGTCTTTTAAGGAAGGCTACTCAATAATAATCTTTGATAGATATCTTACAGTTAACATGAAGTGGCCTATAAAATGACTCGACAAACAAAAGTGATTGTCGAAGAGATTCGTTGATTTTCTTATCAATAACTGATACGTTTCGTTTCTGACCTCCATTCGCCAAAGTCCATTCCACTGCTTCACGACTTTCGCGCAACTATTTTCATATAATAAATTCAACTTCTATTGAAAAAACAAAAAAAAAAGGTTTGTTCGATTTATCTCGATTACTTTTTCCTTAATTTTATTTGCTAATCAGAACAAATATCGTTCAAAATACGACGCACGCAATTTATTTCAAACCTACTTAAGAATGTAATAGAAAGGAGAAAAATGAGAAAGACATAAACCCTTTGCTAACTGCGTAAGAAACGAGAGTATTGGAATTAAGGTAATAAAAGCTGAAACTAAATTTCTTCAAACGTAAACTATAATCGTGAATTTTAAATTTTCTAACACACGAACTTCATTCAACAACGACGAATCTGCCTACCAAAAGATAGTACTCTATAAATGCAGACAAACTTACCTTTTTTTACTTGTAATTCTATGAGGCATAAGGTATTTTAATATTACCCCCTTTTTTTTTCTCTCAAAATTTAAGAGAACTAGTGTTGACTTGTATTCTGGAAATTGACACTTATAACATTAAGCTATCTGTAATCATAATCAACTGAAAATCATTTACTCAGGAATTATCGCTATATTTTTTTATCACCTGCCACACGAGTCAGCCCATCATCGTGATGTGTATTCTAAAAACAATTAGACATTCCGGAAAGGTTTGGGTTGCTTTGATTAGACAAAAGGAAGACGTTTGGCACTATTTTCGAGGTCAAGGTTGCTGGACCAGATCCGTGACCTGACCCAAGGTCATGGGAGCCAACATGGAGAAGTTGAGTTGTAAATGTAAAATAAAACGATGTAGCAATGAAACATGCTTGAAATGTTATATATGTGTTTGTGAATGTAATGGTTTAAGTGTAGCGATTAAGTTAAACCGAGGGTCCAGGTCGGTTGAGGGAATAATTTAAACGAAGATTCCCTAATCGAGTTGACACTCGAACTGAATCGGATATTTGTCAATTAATTACTATATTGATAGCGAAATGTAAAAGAACCAGCACAATATCATCATTATATTTAAAAAAGAGGGATTGGAATCATATGTAAGAAATAATTAGTTTCAATATTTTGTGAAACTAACTGCACAGTAAAGCCTAAAGATGTAGTGTTGAAGTTGAAGCAGATGCACGATGCATTACAAGATGATATTCCTAAGGACTTTCAAATTTAAAATGCCATTTCTACAATGAAGAGTAAATATCGTAAAGATAGTATAATGCCCAGTATGACATCACCATAGTATAATCCATACAGATTTCATCATGTCATATTTCCATTAATATTTAGTTTTTCTACGTCTTAGAAATTTTGCCAAGCTTAATTCATCGATATTTTTCGAAATAATTCTAAACCACCGGTTGCCAGAATGATTCCCTTGTTGACCTCTCTAGGCTCCGTACTAAAAGATGCAGGGCTGGCTCGTGTGGCAGATGTTGATTACATTATTTCTACACAGTTCAAATCATTACATAGAATAAATGGATCTAAATGATACATTTTAGATTTTTGTCTAGCAACAAATATATTCCATAATTACGATTACATTTTATTGTACAAATGGATGCTCATTTTTTTGTTTCACATGTGACACCTTCCTGAATCATGGCACAATGTAAAACGATTTTACTATGTTGTTCTGATCTATGAGGTAAAAAAATCAAAATCTCAAACAAAAACCTATGATTTAAATCAAGTATCATTCAGTATTGGGGTATAGTTGCTGATCATATTGAAAAAAAAACGGAAATTCTGCTGTAAACCAGTTATCATTACAAGTGTTAATACTGAATAAAAAATATTTCATATAATTGTTATCTTAATTTACATGCTCAGAAATAATGTGTTCCGATATATCGTGCTCAGACATAACATACATTGCAATATGGATTGAATAGGAAGTGTCTTTTTTATTAAATCTAAACATGATAACAGAATAAAAAGTTACTGTAATTAAGTAAATTTTGACATTCTAATTTATTTGTATTACAAATTACATTTTTCAGGCATTCAAAGAAACAGAGAAAAAGTTATTTCTGCTTACGCACAGAAGGTTGTAAGATTATTTAAACAATTGTAGGGAAATCGTAAAGTTATTTATTCTACATACACATAGGAATGAATGTGAACTATTTGTGTTACTCTAATTTGTAATGGTAAATCAAAGACTAACTTACCCAATACAATTAGCCGCGCAGCTGCTCTTATAGGACCCTCATTATAAGCTGGTCCAACCTAGGATATCAAAATTGTTTACTGATTTCAACTATTAGTTGAAGCTCGATGAAGACAAATGTTGCCAAACACAATATCAAACAATATTTTGTTTTCACTGAGCAAGAGCCATTTATTTTTCACTTTTGATGTTTGTAAGCCGCTTATTTTCAGTTTAATAAGATTAATATTATCAGAGGTTTACATTGCACGAAGAGAAGATGAGCGATGGTAAACCAAGATCTGGTAAACCAACAATATGGTAAACCAACATCTGATAAACCAACATCTGGTAAACCAACAAAATCACATAGTTAACTGAATTGTATATTTCTTGGAGTAAGTAGTATCTCTTTATCTATTTTTGTTTAGTAATAAATAAAGAGCGAAACGTTTTTTTTTTCAAACATTAAAATTCTTTAATCTACTGAAAACATGCATTTTATAAACATATAATTTTATATCATTCTCATAATCACTTCAATATTTATATGGTATTTTAATTATAAACATTTACGAATATCATTGCAGAAATATTAAAAAATAATAACCAACTGTGTTTCATACTGTAAACTAATGGTTTTTGTAAACACACCTGACATTGGTATTCACCTTCGTCTTCGAGCTTAACGTCTCGGACCCTGAGATTATAAATGCCTCTTTCTACATCAACAAGCATGCTGTACCTCTTGTAACCAGGGATGGCTGCTTCAAAACCTGCATCCACAAAAATATTTATAATTATATATTAGATTAAAAATCTGTCAGATTGTACTCTTTCCCGGTAGGTGATAAGGGCACTAGACTCGCAATTTAAGGGTAGTGGATTCAAAGCCCCATCCCAACAAACATGCTTGCCTTGGGAAGGTTATAATCCCACTATTCGTTGGTAAAAGAATAGCCCAAGAGTTGGCGATGGGTGGTGATGACTAGCTGCCTTCCCTCTAGTCTTACACTGCTAAATTAGGGACGGCTAGCGCAGATATCCCTCATGTAGCTTTGCGCGAAATTCAAAAACAAACATCTATCACTGTACTTATTACGTACCTTAAGGTTTTACAGAAATGTAACATGCGCAATAAAGTAAAATTTCGACATTGCTTTATTACTGATTTAGATTTCTTTTTAAATGTAGAAAGATGAAATGGATTGCATTGAAATAGGGGTACGATTTTAGTTTGTTTTTTGTTAGCCCAAATCTTCACAATAGATTGTCTGTTTTCTTACACATACGGATACCAAACTCAGGTTTTTTCGTTAAAGGACATTAGACTTACCGTTGGTTCATCAGGGACGGGTATGTTTGGTATACCATAAAAAAACCAGTTGGAGAGACAGGTAAACGTATTGCGTACAATACATGCTGTAGGTGCAGAAAACGACCTCTTTACATTAGACTTACCGTTGGTTCATCAGGGACGGGTGTGTTTGGTATACCATAAAAAACCAGTTGGAGAAACAGGTAAACGTATTGCGTACAATACCTGCTGTAGGTGCAGAAAACGGTCTCTTTACTTCATATGTCACACTAGCTTTCATTGCTAAAAACGTATTTAACCGGGTTTACAATAACATTTTTATAACTTTTGTATTTTATATGAGGCTGTGGGCTTTCCATAACTATACATCTCTAGCGGGTCAAATTTCATTCTCTGTTATCATAAGTAATTCTTGACATAAACCAGTGTCTTGAAAACTTTAATCACAGATATTTCGGTTGATTTAAATCAGTACAAGGTCACGTACCAGACACTATAACGAAAGACGCACTTCGAATACGGTATGTACTTGTGAAACGATATGCGTTTCGTTATTATTCAAGTCTGGTTTGTTTTTTTCGTTTTTTTCATTTCGCGCAAAGCTACACGAGAGATATCTGCGCTAGCTGTTCCTAATTTAGCAATGAAAGACCAGAGGGAAGGCAGCTAGTCATCACCACTCACCGCCAACTCTTAAGCTACTCTTTTACCAACGAATACTGGTATTGGTTGTCACATTATAACGCCCCCACAGGTGAATAGGCGAGCATGTTTGGTGGGACGGGGATTCGAATCCGCGACCCTCAGATTGCGAGTCGAGCGCCCTAACCACCTGGCCATGCCGGGCCGTTCAAGTCTGGTTTGTTGATGTTAAGTTTACACGTAACAAAAATAACTGTCCGGATTTATAACATTAAAATATAATTTACATGTGAATGAATATTCAAGTGACATCAGCTAATGATCAATATTTGGGACATCGACGAATATTACTCTAATTAATGTGCTATTTTTTTATGTTCAAGGCAGACCAGAGTTATTACAAAACAATCACGTACTTCATTTATTTTTCCTCTATTGGAGGTTATCTTCCCGAGTAAGTTGCAGACACACTTATTATACATCAATAAGTACACTAGATACCTTATATCCAATTGTAAGTTAGTTAGCCGTTATTTTAATAGTTCTAACATTACGATAATAGACTTAAATAGTGCACGTTAATTTCAAGAGCAATTGGGATTATACGTTTTGGGGCAGGTTAGTAGAGATAATGCTAGAACAATAATCTCTTATTACAAGTTATTAGGCCCATGATTAGGTATAATTTTGTACATCCATCCGTTAGATATTTGTAATTTTGCATCACTTGCCTATTACATAGCGAGCTTGACACGATTAAGCAAAATAATTATTGCGTATCAATCTTTACGTGGAAATACAACTTAGGTAAGCCAATAGAAGTTCATAAAAAATGTATTTTGAAACTTAATATAAAAAAAGAGTGTAATCGCTAAGATAATTTACACTAGTTAGGCATTTTTCAATATCTTACGCTAGTATTTCTTTCACGGATCATCCATATAGTATTTTATGCAATTTATTAGGGTATTCTACAGAAACATTCTGAAAACAAGTTTATTTCGAATATTCCTCTAAGTATTGCATTATTAATGATACTTATTCAACAATGCTGGACAAGGTTCACTTGATGCAAATACAAACAGAACCAAACAAATAGTGATGATCTTGGAGTTTAATAGAAAGTAATGTGATCGCTAGAAACATGTTTATGACAGATGAGAGATATATGCTCGTTTCTGATAAAATATGACTTATTAAAACCTGAGAACCATTTCCAAGGAATGCCAACTTACTCGTCACATTCAGATTAGAAATACTTTAAATCAGTTGATACTTTCACATAGAATGTTTCAGAACAGATTAAACTGACCTTGTAAACAATGCTTGATTTTAAAAGAATAACTAACAAAATTAACCTGTTTTTTATCATTCTAAAAAATAATTTCAGAGGTTATTTTCTGATACTTAATTTAAATACTTTAATTTACATGAATGATAATACTATTGTAATTTCGTAAAAAACAACTGAATTATTTATATTTTATATATTAGACCAATTAAAATTAGTAAAGCCGAATAATGTCATGCCAAACGTTTCTTTCATTGCCTGCCTCTGATTTTCCCTTTCTTCTTGTCCAAACAGCATTTCGAATAAACTAAATGTAAAATCAATAAAAGTAATATGAATAAAAACGAGTAAATACTCATGTGAGTGGATAATTAAATAATCCGAATGTTGATCTATTTCTTTTCTAGTTAGGATCCATTTAGACATTCCGTTCAAATTATCTTGCATGTAAAAAAGATAAACATTTTTTTCCAGAACATTTACAAGCAGAAAACACATTTAAAAAAATAATTTACCCAAATTCTTAACTGAACATAAGTTACAAGACAATTTGTTATTTGAAACTATCGTTCTCGTGTAGCTTGTCACAGCACCGCTACACATAGAATTTTAATGTAGATATTTTTAATCTGATATAACCCAGCAGTACAGTATCTGTTTACATGGTTGCTTCAGGGATCAATACTACTGCAATCAAACTCACTATCTCTCCGTTCATTTAAATCTCTTCTACCATAGATGAACCTCCTATTCGGCTGAGTTTTCAATAATGAGGACAACAAATGTAAAAAAGTTGATGCTTATAAATATCCAAGCGTCTCTGTACTACTTCAACTTCCTTAGAATCGAATAATAAGTTTTGGAGTGAAGTACAGTATTCAGAGCATTTAACATTTGAAGGTTTACGGATGATAATATTAGATAAGTGTATTCCACTTACAATGTTACTTTAGATCCATTCCAGTTCTATAACCTATAGAAATAAACGATAGCAGCAGAGTAGCATTAAAAACGCCCATGTAACACCCACACAGCCGATATAAAGAGCATGTTTTACAACTACATTTTGATCTTGTCATATCATAAAGACGTATATACATCAAGGATTTAGATTTTCCGAGGTGAGGATATTCTTTATATTTAATGACATTGTAAAGAAAAAATATGGATCAACTCGGACACCGGGACCATCCAGAAAGAGACATGCAACAAGTCGTACTGAAGCATGATAAGCAAAGTGGCGTCTTGCAGAAGGTAAAAATCCATGATAACATGGATCAGTGGCAAAATACATCTACATTTCCCAGGCAACAGCATGCAACATTATAAAGAAGGATCTCTATCTATAAAGTTCATACAGGCCACTCTACACAAGCTGTTTTCCTCGACATATCCATTCAACCATCACATTCATCAAGAAGCTGAAAAATAAAACGGGTATTCATGCTATTCCATATAAAGACATGCCTCTTATGTCACCCATGGATTTCTCTGCGATCGGGCTGTTGAATAGGGCACTGAGAAACCGTCGCCCTCTTATACTTAATGGATTATAGAAAGACAGCAATAAAGAAGGATGTGTTTTGGACATGAGAGTCTTACGCTGAAGCTATTTGTATTGCTAAGTATGCTGCATCCCTATTATCAAGATACACGGTTGTCAGATAATGCATGACCGGACGTGGATATATGGACTGCAACGACACAATAACGCTCCGAAATCGTTTTAATACAACATATTCAACCTCTCCATTAATTTAAAGACACGACACTTTACAGACATCAATATACAAAGCTATAGCAAACTATAGCAAAAGTAATAAATAAAAGTTTATTTTTAATAATAATGTTTTCCATACCAGAAAAAGCTAGTTATAATTTCAGCACTTTAACAATAATCAATAACAAGTACTTTGACGAATTAATTTAAGGTCCTAATTACTTGTGTCAGTAAAATAGGTTAAGGATATCAAAACTGTCATGTTCCAATGAGACTACGATGAGAAGGATACCAAATATAAATGTTAATGAACAAGCAATAATCCATGAGGTAAGGCAGGATTACTGATAATTAATGAGAAACATGACCATAACAAAAATATCACTCAGCTAAAGTTTCGAAAATAATATTTAATGATGTAACTCATCATGGCAAATAATTAGCCAACTCGCAGTTATCAAAAATTATTGAGGGATCTGTTTGTTTGTTTGATCCCCTAAAGTAAGTTTATACTAGAAGATGATCTTAAGTGTAATACAGATAAGTTATTAGAATAAGTTCCACTTGTTACTAGAAAAACGAATAGAGTTCAGATAGCAAAAATCCTTAGAAGATCCAACTTGTTCTAATTGTGAGCCTACTTACGTGATATATCGAAAAAAAAAATTTTACTAAGTTTTGTGGAATAAAAAAACAGTACCTCAAAGACAAAAATGCAACTTTTTTCTTCGAAAAGTGTCACAGCTTACATCCGTACCAAAACAAGTGAAGCTTCCTGAAAAACGGATCAAAATATATATTTGAC